ATAATATCAGTATTGTGTTTCATGCGGTGCAGACGTCCTTTTGTGCGGTGCAGGACGTGATGTGCTGTGACGCTGCTACTATCGGGGTAAGTACCGGGTTCGTCTGTAGGTACGTTGTTTGTGTACCATACAGAGGAGTTCTGTGAGACCTAAGTACCCTACAGAGATTTCACAGATAGTTCGGTACTCTCCCCAGTATCTACCGAGATTTTACAGAAAGTTCGGTACGCTCCCAGTACCCTACAGAGATTTCACAGAACGTTCGGTACTCGCCCAGTACCCTACAGAGATTTCACAGAACGTTCTGTATTCTCCCAGTACCCTACCGAAAAGTTCTGTGAGACCCCAGAGACTTTACAGAGGAGTTCTGTGAGACCCCAGCACATACAGAGATTTTACAGAAGAGTTCTGTGAGACCCCAGTACCCTACAGAGATTTCACAGAACGTTTCGGTACTCGCCCAGTACCCTACAGAGATTTCACAAACAGCTCTGTAACTCTCCCAGTACCCTACAGAAGTATCAGTACCCTACAGAACGGACCTGTGGATTGTCCAAGTATTCAGGGAAGGAAACGTACTTGTTGCGATGACGTCACGAATAGCACAACAAGCGAAAAAAACGTTTTTTTTTCATTTCACCGTTCTGTGGAAGATTGCACGACTTTTCTGCGGTAATAACGAGCCTTACGCCGCGGGACTCGAACCCCTGACCTGACCTCTAGAAGGTTACGAGGATACCGACTAGGCCACCGGGGCGACCGGCTAGGTTGCTGCACGGTGAAAGGTGAAAGGCTAGGTTGGCACTTGAGGTGTGCACAACAGAACCAGAACAGCAACGAGAATATTCCGTGAACCAATATTTATTTTTAATATAAATGGGCAAGTACTGCTGAATTTTGGAGCGCAGTTCTTTCTTGCGCCGTTGGAACACTTTTTACCACCCAGCTTGGAAACCACCCAAACCCCAACGTCGTCCCTCTCCCCCTTCACACGCATGTTTCGTCGTTGCCGGCGCACGCGTATGCATACGCACAAGGTGTTAGAGACCAGGTGGTCGGCCGCGGCGGTGAGACCGTCACGAAGGACAGACGGGCAGAGTCTACATACAAAGGGCGAGAGAAGTCTACACTCACCAGACCAGATACAAATGTAGTCTGGACTACATCAAGGAGCGAAAAAATGCGCGAAAAGAAGCAACAGCAGCAGGGGGGTCGCTTGCTTCCACCAGGCATCATGACAAACGTGTGCAAAGGAGCACCGCGGGAGACGAAAAGGAAAGATAGAAATTCGACGGTCAAGACCCTCGGGGGATGTGATCTTACGCAGCCTTTGCACATCGTTGTTCGGTCCCTTGCCCGCGTGCCCGCGTATTTGAAGACTTTGAAAGACTGTGAGGTTTAGCCAATCAGGGAGAACGGTTTCAGATGTGCGCAGTCGTATGTAGTCTAGACACCTCTGTCGTGTCAAGATCGTATGCTGTGTACGTGCAAAGTATTGCGTAGATCAATTTCATATACCTCTTCCTCTACCCCTCCACGCCAATGACACCCACCCATGTTTCTGTACCAGCACGTATTGGCGGCGTTCAGTTTGGGCGATGCTGACCGAATGTAACCTGCGGTGAACAGGGCACGATGAGCGGGGTCTGCGAGGAGATGTCAATATCTGCTGTACGTACATATTAATAGGATACACTAGGAGGTGACTGTTGTCGAGGTGTGGTTCGTTGATATTTCACCGCACCGTGCATACTGATGCAGAGAACCTGACTTGACAATAGTCTACATGTGGTCTCTCAACACCGCCACCGGGACTCTGTAGATTGCACGTGTATCCTCACATGTACTGCTGTGCGTAGGTACTGCTGTGTAGTATCCAGGGCACAGCAGTGCATAATTAGTCTTTTTAGTCTACAACACGCTTTGCTTGAGACGACAACGCTAGAGGCTACCCATGGTACACGTGATGGCGAAGGGTATACAAACGGTTGGATGCTTCGTGCATCCAGCAACCGCGTTGTACAGGGAGCCACAGAAAGTATTGCGAGGTTCCACTATATTTCCATGAGTCCTGGTACCTGATTACACGTGCAGTAGAAATTCGCATTAACGATGATGAACTGTTCCCATCAAATGAAGATGTGAGTGTGTGGACAGCATGTCAAGAGAGCCCGTATGAGTTCGGCAATCATGTTGTGGCGGTTGCCTTGGACGCACTGCACTCTTATGAGCGAACATCGTCGTTTTTTTCTTATTCACGAACTCTCGGCGAAAGAAGTCTTTCGGCGCGTCATTGGGCCATCGGACCGGGCATATGGTCATGCTAGGGGAGTGAGGATTCGGATTGGATTGGGTGGGAGTGCTACATATCTCAGAGGTGTGCCTGGAAGTGTTACAACTACAGCAGTGTATGTCATTTGTCAACACGGTGTTGATGCATGATTTTGCCGCCGCCCTTGTCAAGCCCACTTTTGTAGATCCGGCGTGACTCGCATCGCCGCTCTGCAAAATTAACCTGGACGTTTACCACAAACCACCTTGAGTCCCTCAGGAGATATTGCGGGGCAGCTCTTCACAAGCAACCCTGTCGGTCTGCGTTTCTCTCCGCAGTCCCTAGGTTAGAGCGGGAGGTCTGGGGGCCTGTGTGTCCTTCGAAACCAATTTCAGGCATGTCGATGCATGAGGTATGGATGCTGTGTGGACACTTCCATTGACATCCTGGAGCATGCTGTGTGTCGACTCTCCCCCAAAGTGCTATACGCCCGGGATAGGCACGATTTCACCCTTACCCTTGTAGGTTTCCGCATGACGAGAATGTGATGATTGTAAGTAGACACGAATAGAAGCATGGCGGGAACCCTAGCATGACGCGTCGGAAACATCTCGAGCTCGTGGAGATAACCCAAGTGCTGCACTCTTCATACGGACAGTAGTAGACCGCTGGGCTACCAGTCTGCATGTGCGAACCCTGTGCACTCATCAACACTTCGATCGGCAGTTCAGATCTGTCCGACGTTGACTCGGGTGCATTGATTGAGAAGTAAAACATTTAAGGTCCAACCGTATTATATGGTGTTGTTGTCGTGGAGGTTAAAACACATGTTCCATCCGGTGAGCCGACCAGTTGACCCTTGAAGCTCATTTAGGTTTACCCATTGTCCACCGGACTGGCAGGCCGTGCTGACTACTGGTGAGTCAGACGTGCGTATGCTATATGCCGTACACTGCAGTGTTGCTGTCCAAGTTCTGCTACGTTACAGCAGTATTGCTGTAGCGCTCGCGCATTTTTTAGCTCTCACGCGGCGTGTAGCTCATCGGCTCTGTACCGCCACCCCCCCCCTCCCTGGAGAAGATCAGGCATGAGACGGCGTCCGACAAACCCTGCATCGAAAATACACTGCTTCCGAAATAATGGCAATGTTGATGTTAGTGGCCCTGTAACGTGGACTCTGCAGGGATGCTTTTGAAACACTATCGGTCGGGATCGAGAGAAGTCACATGCGGGCCAGGATTCTCGGCTCGGCTGCCTGGCACATGGCAAATCTGACCTTCTCATCTTGACACAATGGCGTTCTCCACCGACATCGTTTAGAGTCTTTTATCACGACGACTTCCTCTGTCTTTCTGCCATTCTCCTTCGGTCGATCTGTCGCTGCTGCGCACTTCTCACGCTGCCGTCTCACGCTGCCCTGACTCTTGCTTCTTCCTTCACGTCTCTTTGCGGGAAACACTCACGGTGGCACAGGCGTCGGCTCAGCAGCAGGCTAACAACGAGGGATGGATAGAAGATTGGATATCTTGTGCACTTCAAGTTCGGCAACGGGAAGGTAGACAGGAGGTGAGCTACATGCTGAGCGAAATGCATGGCATCGGGCACAAGCGGTGGGTGGGTTTCCACCGTTGAAGATACCAGATACTCTGGAATTTTTGGTAAACATTCAACAACTCTTACCGGGTGCGATCGCTCCTATGCGGCAGACGTATCGAGCTGTGAAGATTGCATCCCTTGTTTCTTCACAAACCTCCATGGTGAGGGCCAGAGAGCTGCACTCAGGTAAGGGTGGTAGCCCGGGTGAAATGTGTCGTTTGTCGTGCTGCAGCCAGGTTGATACGGTGTGGTCAGATGCTGTCTCATTCCCGCCACTTTCATGCCGAGGTATCGCCCAACACATGGGAGAAACTACGTGGTGAGACGTGCAACGGCGTAGGCAGGGAACAACCACTGACGTCGAAAAGCGTTCGAGCACAGCACGTGCCAACCGGGACACAAAACCTCGTGCAGTGGGTGTGGATTGTGGCAGCAGACTGACGTCGTCTATTGTACTCCCCGCTACACCCTACACCGTGGTGGGTGCTTCCGCACGATTTCAAACTCTGTTGTAACTAAAGTCCACATGCATATGTACTCCCCTGTTGTTGCCTCCCTCCGCGTGTGGGCCGTTGTTCTTCCAAAACCACCTCTACTGCAGCCGAAGGACGATGTCGACGGCGGCGACGGCTGGCACGAGGCTGCTGCTGCCTTGGACGGCGCTCGCGCCTGCACCTGCGGCACCGACGACTACCCCTACATCCACGGACCCTCCGGACACACCCATGCTCGGCGCACCCCTTCAACACAACTCGAAGGCGCAGTGGACAAAAACACGTGTTCCACCTCCGCGCCCTTCACCCGACCATCGACAGCGTCCGGGCGGCCGTATCGGATTCCGCCAAGTCTCGGACGCGGGACCGACGGCGACGGCAGACGAAGCGTCCCCCCTGCCAGGCCTCACTCTGCCACCGGGGTCAACGGAAGGCGGCACGGCGGGATCACCAGCCGGGGGGGGGCTGGGAGCGCATGGCGACGACAAGGTTTGGAGCGAGTGGCGCCTCCGAGGCCGATGGGCGCACCAAGCGGGGGGACTTGCTGGAGCTGTTGCTCGTGTGGCTGGGGGAGGTTTAGGGCCGAGAGACCAGGCGCGAATGATGGGGGGGGCGAGATGCAAGAGCAAGCACTGGGGTATTGGCCTGCCTTCGCCTTCTGATCACGGACCAAAAAAGGAAGTCTGTTTAGCGATGGATGGAGACGGTGGCTATGACCCGTTGAACATAGAAGTAGCAAGAGTTTTTTCATTGTGCTTGCACATATTGTATGAGACACACGAAAAATTCCTCGCCCTGTTTTTCCGAGAACAAGAGCTGACTTCGCGTTGCCAACCCACAAAAGGGGGTTTCTTCATTTCAAAAGTTGTGAGCGGCTCGATTCTGCTGGACCTTTCCTCGTCATGTCTCCATATGGATCTATCCCTGTAGGAAATTTTTCGGCTATTTTTTCTAGTCTGCAATACTCGCACCAGCTGATCCCAAGACACCCTCAACCGTGGCCCAATGTGGTTTTTCCGAACACTTCTCCGAGCCATGCTAGGTAGTGAGTGCCCTACACTCCTGCGTTCAAACACCTCCTTTCTGGAGATATAATAGAGCATATTTTCGACCTTGTGACGCTGGGTCACTCGTGTAATTCCCCCTTTGCACAACCGGAAATCGAGTGCGACTACCATCCTCCCTGGCCTGTTTCCGACACGAGAGGAACTTCCCTCCGTCTTCTGCCTTTTTCTTTGTTGTTGCAGGGGCGGCGCGTGGAGGAGGAGGGCAGCAATCGCCGTCAAGGAGAGAGCAGCGGCGTGGCGGGAGAGGTGGTCAGGTACGGGTACTGGCGGCTTGGTCGTACCAGGCATCGAAGCGGTACGGCAGGGGTAACCGCGGTGCCCCATCGTCCCCCCGACAGATCTTGGTCAAAGTGCCGTGCGTGGAAACGAGCCGCACCGCTTGCGGCGATGCCGAGAAAAAATGCAAGAGGGGAAGTGCCCCGTACCGCCTAGCATGGAACGACGAGGTCACAACGGCTGTCGCTTACGCCGACAACCCCTACGTCGACGCTCGGAACACTGCCCACGGCCACGACGACGGGAAAGCTTTGGCGGAAGACGGTGCTGGTGGGTGTTGTCACGGTGGCGGTCAGGTTGCGAACAAATCTGCCAAAGGCAAAGGCGACGCCACCCGTGCCGCTGATGCTACTGCAGCTGCAGCCGCGGGCCTTGTGTCTCCGGCACCAGGCAGGAACAACATGACGGCAGTGATGGTGCAGCTCCCTCGCCCGCTTGAAGGAGACGAGGCGTCGTCCACGACACCCGGTGGTCGAGGCGTCGGCTTCGATGTCGGGAACGGGCGCGGTAGCAACAGCGTGCTCTCAGCCTCGGACAGCGGGCGGCTTTCCCTCCTCGAGGAGGCAAGGCCCACCACGAGTCGAGTAATCGCGAAGCTCCGAGCCTCGGTGGCACGGGAAGCGTGCCAGGGTTCGACCGCCGCCAAGCTGGCTCCTGGTGCAACAGCAGCAGCAGGGCCGGCTTGTTTACTTCCTCTGACGGTCCTCGAAGTGCGCCCGGGAGATGCGGCGATTCCAGGCAGGCGGCCCCCTTCTTCTCCTGGGAGAAGAGCGGGACCACACGATGGGCACAAACGAAGCGTTGGGACGAGAGGACGACCCCGACCACAGTCGGCAGCAGGGTTGAGCCTGGCGGCACAAACGTCGCGTAGAATAGGAGTTCAGCACCATGGAACCGCCTCGGCAGGTGGGAGAACGCGGGAGAATCGTCGTGGTTTCGTGAATGCCGCAGCAACGCTTGGACCGGCAGCAGCAGCGATAACTCGTCGAGGAGCTACGGCGTGTAAGACTGACGAGAACGTGCAAGGCGCCAACTCGCGTCGGCCACAGTCTGCCGGGCCTGGTGAAAATATCGGCGACAGACGAAGGCGCGACGTGAAGGCGCAAGATAACTACTCGTTTTTCCCTTCTGCCTCCTCTACTGGTGAAAATGCCGGTACCGAATGCGGTTACGACGAGATGGGCGTCAGAATGATTCTGGGAGGAGGGGTGATGTTGCCAGGCGATGTGAGCGAGTGGGAAGCTTCTCTGTGCTCGAGCACCGAGGCAACGAGCAGGGCTGGATATGCGTTGGACTCACCGGGAACGTGGAGAGAAGCGGTCGGGTTCTAATGCAGCGCCAAGTAACGCTGGAAAAACACAGTAATCGATTATTCGTATATTGCCGCTGGCAGATCGCCGATAAACACTACATCCGAGGGGGCAAGCACTTGAATGATTGCAACGCCCTGAGTCATCAACTACCTCGGCTTTCGTCGTAAGAGTACGTTTCGTTGATTAGTATTGGTAGCGGGCAAAGTCAATCACGCCTTCCTCGTGATCTCGCCGAGACTTGTCAGAACAACACCCAGGTCTTGTCGGTTTCTTGAGCCTTGCATATTCTACCCATCGTTGTTTATATCGAGTACCTTCAACTGAAATTTCAATGCCCGATTTCGGGGGGGGCGCTGTATATGCAAACGACATCGTTCAAGGCTCTCCTACCTACATCGTGGCACAATTTTGTTTCCATCGTCCTCCTGCACGTGGCATTTACTCTCCAATCTACATGTACATTGCTAACGTATATTCGTACCCCAGCAGGGAAATCATCATACCATGCTATTCTTCACTTTCCCACCATCCGTACCTCCCATTCAGGTTGGAAGAAACAAGAAGACAAAACCGTATCTGCGAACTCGCACAAGATCAGAGTAGACCCGAGAATGGTCGACGTCTGACCCTGTCAGCAGAAACGACATCCCTTGACCGTATTAATCTAACCCATCTCAAACATTGTGCGTGTATCTTCGCAACTCATTACTCTTGACGGCGTACAAGTTGTGTAGCGGCTCGAGCTCCTCGGCTTCCATTTCATGTATGAGACATTCCATCCTTGCGGGATAGTCAAAGCATTGGGGATATCCTCACGGACACGTTGTGGCGCAATATTGAGTGAAACACGAGTTCGTAGACAAATACCATGATACATCACACTTCTCTTCTGTACCTGCGTAGATGACGGTCGGAGGAATGACATGATCTCGGAAACCAGTCATTAATTCCGAACTGCACCCTCCCATCACACACAAACGGTCGATTCAGGTGACGATCACCTACAAGACTGACACGCGGCTGCCCCGACAGAATACCGACGCCTTGCCTGGCCAAAGGTAGGCTAAGCGCCACCGTGGATGGCGAGAAAGAACGTGGACGATTCTCGCCTGCCCCAGCCTAAGTATCTATCCACTTCGACCAGTATCACCCGGAGCTCCTGTAGGTTGCGTCAATGTCCCGAGAGCCGGCCTTTTCGTCGCGACCAGACAGCACCATCGCTCCTAGCAGAACCGGTAGCAAAGCACATTCATGGTCGTCCACATGCATCAGCCAGACTTTTCCCATCACCACCGCCGCGCATCCGCTCGCACACGATATTCTGTGCTTGATCCAGCGGCGAGATCGTACCGTGAGGTGTCAACATGAAGTGCCTGCTGGTAGACTGCTGGCAGTTCGGCGGGAACAAGATCTGGGGCAACCCCTACGCCGATGTGACAGTGCAGGTGAGGCGCACGGCAAGTTCGCAGACCGTCTTGGAGGACTGATTGGGTCTCGAGAGCTTCATGCACGCGACAGCCCGCTGCTTAGTTGTGATCTGGGTACGTTCGCAGAGGAAGAATGATTTGTTGTGTGAAAATAAGAAAAAATAATAATCTAGGGTTCCCACCTTTTTTTGACCCGAGAATTTTGACACAAGGCAGCTCGGGTCAAAAAAAAGTGACGGTTGATATTTTGACACGAACTTATTTCGCCGCTTGTTACCTTTCGGAGCTCAGCAGCGGCGAAATCTCGATTTTAAAAAAACACTCAGCGCAAGACCGAAAACCGAACGGCTGAGCCTCGGAGCCTCCACCCCGTAAACGCTACGAACCGAGGGAATGGCGCGCCTTGAACGAGGTAGAATCCGCTATGAGCCACCACGCCGCCACGCGGCCTCGTTTACCCCGGGAAGCTACCAGAACAAATCCCCCAACACGGGCAGCCCTAAACCTCCCCTTCACGGGTGGGGCGCCCGACTGCTGTTATGTTGGCAATCACTCCTGTGCTTGTTTTCGGACCAACCTCGACCTGTTTTTTTCTCGAACCCTCGATGAACGCAACCGTCCCTGACGCGGATTGGCACCAGCAGGAGTGCGATGTGCTCCCGGGATTGTTTTTGCAGACGTGTGTG